GACCCGGGGAAGATGAGAATTCTCAAGTTAACCTAACCTAACCTCAACTGGGTCTACCTGTCAATTGGGTCAGCTGACATAACGCGCGGGATGCCGCGTCATTCAATCGAGGTAACGTGCGTGTCAAAACAACTTCTCTCATTTTGGATATTTTATACGGCATTCATTGAATTCACTCGAGGTAGTGCTGCACATTAGAAATTGTCGTAGTGTAAGTTTAAATAAGCATAATTGGCACAATGATTGAAATATAAAGCGAGACGTGCGCAGCGATGCAGACTATCACGGCTTGAATTTGTCAGTGTTCGCATTTCATTATCTTATATCTCTCTCTCTCTCTCTCTCTCTCCGATACAGGTGTCGGTAGCGCTGTTGCTTATCGTCATTGAGTGTTCTAAACGTTCAGAATCACGAATGAGTCGCTGCTGGCGCAGCGTGTTCGCACGCGAGCGTCCTCCAGACATCCAGTCGTTGTCATAAATGGCAAACACTTTGAACTAATTAACCCTGTTGGCCCGTGCTCCATAACTGAGGTTCACACGGCGCGAGAAGGTCCGATGCCGGCGATGCTGGCACAACGTACCGGCGAGAGGTCGTGCCAGTGCGGTCAATCGGTCAATATTAATTTATTACAATCTTGCTCTATTACTACCGGTAGTACGACTCTCGCGCGCATTGACTAGTGCTCGAGCAGGTGGTCCGTTTATAAACGAGATCGCAACCCGCACGCTCGTGAATTACAATCCGATGGGGCGTTCACGGTCGGGAATAAACAGATGAAATGTTGAAGATGCACATGAGTCTTGAGAGGAGAATATTTGCTATTTCCGAAACTCTGACTCGTAACTCTGAATCGTAGCTTTCGTCCGCAAAATCCTCGGATGAGCTGTGCGTCTCTCTCGCAACTTTTCTCCTTAATCCTTCGCGATCGATTATTTTTCAATATTCAACTGTTACTCGCCAATCAGCGATTTCTCGATGACAATTTTCCCCTTTCTTTCGGTATTTCGTTTGCTTCGCGCGTAGATCGTTTCGCATGAAAACCTTTTATCATCCGCGTTTACGATGTATAATGTGTTTACATCGTTTCGATCGAAAGTTTCGAATGATCGCTTATCACGATAGATACGATAGCTTGCATAATCGCGCGAATAGCAGTGCGAGCCACTTGTAGTAGTGTAAATTCCGAAACTTGTCTGTACGAATGCTTCATTAATTGATTTGATAGCAATATTGTGGTATTATCGCAATAATTCATACGAAATATGACTTTATACGATATACGATATACTTTTTATGAAAATGCAAAATTGTATTTCCAGTAAGAAATAACAATTCGCTATGGTGGAAAATAGATGGTTGAGAGAATTTAAGGAAACAAATATGAAATAATCATTTTAAACAGCGAATCATTGTCTTGACTTTTCTCTTTTTCTTTTTAGTGTATGTATGTGTGTGTGTGTGTGTGTGTGTGTGTGTATGTGTGATTCTTGTCATTTTATAAAATTGTAATTACAACTACGAGGTCGAGAGCGAATACGAAAGCGAGTGCGAAAGAAACTTTTTATTCACTTGGATTCCTCAATAAGAAGGAATTTAGCTTTATGTTCTCTTAATTTTCAATCAATGAAGCGTTTTTGTATATTCTTACAGTATATTTTGATCCTTTTACCTTATGAATCCGTGTGAATTCTTCTATGAATCTCTCTTAAAATTTCGCAAGCGTCGCTCGTATGTTAATTCTTCTATTCACTAGAATAAAGATGACTCCTCTCTCCCCCTCTCTCTCTCTCTCTCTCTCTCTCTCTCTCTCTCTCTCTCTCTCTCTCTCTCTCTCTCTCTCCCTCCCTCCCTCCCTCTCTCTCTCTCTCTCTGTCACTCACTCAGAATTTCCTGGAACGCAATGCACGCACGCGTGATTATGTCACGAGAACTGATTACACATGTCCACGAATACTGTTACTCGATCGAAGATGCTTCAATCTCATATTGTAGTTTGCGTTTTTCGGTTAAATTTTTCGGTAAAGTAATTTCTTTTGAAATCTCTTCAATATTTCTGTCCAATCCCGATGCTTCATCCGTATGCAATCGATGTCGACGATTGACTACGAGGTGTGTTTTTGCAAACGTGGAAATACACGTCAGAGATGAATACACGTCAGAGAATAACGTCAACGTGACAAATGCTCGTAGCAATTTTCTCGAAGAGCGGAGCAGCAGAGCGACGTTGTACGAGGCGTTACACAACGGGGGAACATGCACCAACAGATAAAGACAGGTGGTAGATGAAATAAAAACGGTAGGGACAGCACGAGAGGGTGGGGGGAACGATTTCATCCAATACACACACACACACACACACATACACACACACACACACACACACATACACACGTGATTCGATGTGTACAACAGTTCTCTCGGTGGGTACGACAGTATTTGAGTCACTGTGCAGATTTGCACAATTCACCTGTGCAAATCTGCACAGTGAACTCATGTGTGTGCAATAAGAGATTAATATCGGTATTGCAATCTTGGATATGCACATTTTCCGACGTTACCATCGTATGATTCGATGGTTTCACGTTTCACGAAATTCTGAATTTGCAACTTTCGAGATTCGTTATTGGTTATATCGAATATGAGATTATAGTCGTATTATACTCGCATAAATTGTGAAATCTCAGTAGAGGAAAAATAAATCACATCATATTTCAATAGCTTCGGTATACGAAGAGAAATTAACGAGGAGCGCAAATGTTCAATGTCAGGATTTTTCGCTTAATTCGCACAATTTAGTTCAATATTATCAATTTTACGTGCATATGCGTCGTCTGCGTGAGAAATTATTCAGTATTTCAGTTTAGAGAAGATCAAAATTTCTCAATTTCTAATGTTTAATCGTGAAAATGAAAATAGAGAAATTAAGGTTGAAATATTTACAAAATAACGGAAGAAATAGAATCATGTCATCATTATTAATTTGTACGTGTAAATCAGTATTGTCTGCATCATTCGACTCTACTTTTTAAACAGCTGTACAATTTGTCATTCTTTTATCGATTCTGCAAAGTACGTCAGCAAATTATTCGGAGGTTTAGTACCGCAGAAAAGAATAACAACAATCGTTAAATTACGACGTCAAAGTATTCAGCAAGTGTATCGTAAGCTGTAAACGATTTCGCTCGAAGATATTATCAATTATGTTTCGAGTTAAGTTGTGAGACATATTCGCAATGTTTATCGAAGTCGATCAGGACACATTCCAAACCGAGTGTTGCTAATCTTCCGGGAAGTCGTAATTATATAATCCGATACATGCAACGCTATTTACCTCCAATATTTTCCTCCTCCTCCAATATATACATTCAAGCAAAATGTATGACAAATATGTGCGATATCGATGAACTCATTTAAATAATGCTGTTCATTATGACATTAATCGCGTAATCGATCGCTCGATAATAATAATAAAAATATGATGCAACAATCTCGGTTGGAAATTCGGCGGAAAAGGCAATTTAAGGCACACTTGCGTGTGACCGTGAACATTTTCTGTTTATATTATATTTCTTATGTGGCGTGTGTGTTGTGTGATAATTACCGCGATCACGTGAGAGAACAAAATTGATATCTCAATATCACATCTTAGGACATGTGTGTCCATATATCTTTACCGTACCATCTCTACATACCATATTGCATTATTTTTATATAGCTATACACACACAGAGACAACGAAACTTGTAAGATACTCTTACATTTTCATCTACATTGAGCGACAGATCGAAATTACGAGTTATTCGGTAACACATTCAAGTTAGTCTTGGCAAAGATCAATTAATTTTGATCGATATTAAACGTCTTTTGTTGCGATGTCTATATATCATTCGAAGCTCCATATATTAACTGGTCTCTCACTGCGGAACTTTTAAAATTCGCGAAAAATTTCAAAAGGCTGAAATGGTACTATATTGGTGTACCGTATTGGTTGGTAATGTTTAAGGCTCCTGTAGCGAGATTCCGTTATGTGTTAATAACAGTTTTCGGTTCGTCATATAACATTGCGCATCTTTTCTGCCATATATTATACTTGCGCGACGACGACAGTTGTATTATTCGTAATGACCGTATAACGAGTTACAGAATTCCGCCGCTGGTTCCCCGCCTCTGAGCTCTTGCTTAATCGTGTCAGAAGCGGAAAAAAACGCATGCGTCCAAAATCTTTGTACGCCGTTTCTAAAGAAAAAAACACTTCAGGTCGTTGCAACATACTTGACAAAATACTCAACGCTTCTCTCTTAAAAGTCAATCAACAGCCGTAAAATGATTGTTGTATGAGGTTGACGGATTATACGGAATGATTGCGCATGCACATGTGACTGGACCTCATATTACAACCATTTTATAGTTGTTCATTGCCTATCGAGGAAGAAGTATAGCGCTCAGAGTATTTTACGAGTAATAACTTGCCACTTAAAAATAGTATCAAGAATTCTCAGTGTGTCCGATACAGTCGCAGCGAGCACCCAGGGTCTTGATTATCTTTAATATTTTCCATGCTATTTTTTGCGATTATTTGACACATGTTTTCTCTACACTGCCGATTGTAAATATTCAGCGCTTCGAATAGCGCTCCGAGAATATTGTTTAATTTCACACACTTTTATATTGCTATTGTTAGCACTATGAATGTCCGAAGAATTACTTTCGAGAAGAATCGTTATAAACTGTTTTCGTCACGAGTCTTCCTTACGGCTTAAGACTATGAATAATAGTAAACATCGAGATGCATGGGGGGAAGAGAGAGAGAGAGAGAGAGAGAGGGGGGGAGGGGGAGGGAGGGAGGGGGGGAGAGAGAGAGAGAGAGAGAGAGAGAGAGAGAGAGAGATTAAATCGTAAACACCCCAGTAAACATACATGTCTAAAAGATGTTTAAAAGATTTCTTTAAGTTATCTTTTAGACTTGTATGTCTAAAAGACGTCTTAAAGAAATCTTTTAGGCGTCTTTTAGACATATATGTTTACTGGGATGGATGTTTGTTATTAAATTATCGTTGTTTTTTGACAAGCGCTTCACTAGTTTATCGAAGTTCACCAATAAAGTTTTAGCCTCAGCCAGAAACAAATTTTGGAAAAACTCGGAATGGGGAATTAATGTTATTCGCTTATCGATCGATAATACACTTAGCCCGATTGAGTGGCTGATCGCCGCACCGTACACATAAACGCAAACGTACGTTTATATACGTTCGTATGTGCACTATAAAATCTCTTTTGTTTTCCCCTTCGCGTTATTACTCACATTTTAACTTGAAGTATCGTATGGCATCATTGTCTAACCATCGCTTTTCTTTATGATTCGGCCGTACTTCGCGATACGTTTGACGTTTCCTTAGCACTTCGCGGAATTTTTGTACATTCATTGGATCGATACATCGGACTGGCCGTGTAACGTGGCACGTGAGAGAACTTATCTATCCAGCTAGCTAGTCGCCGAGCCGTTCTGAATCCGAGAGGTTGCGAGAATTTAACGTACATATTATTGTGGATCTCGAGATACATCCGGTTGTAGTTTGGATTACATCGGACCATTTCTGATTACCTCGCACTATCCTACATTGTACATTGAATCACTTCGAATATCCGAACATTATTTTCAACTATTTTGAACAATCTTGCACTACAGTCCTAAAGATCCCGCGTGAATTCGAGGATCTCGCGAATACGTCGAGATGTTGCAGGATTCATCTGAAACTTGCAAGATCTGAGAATACGAGACTACAGAAATGTAGATAGATAGAAAGATAGATGGATAGATAGATAGATAGATAGATAGATAGATAGATAGATAGAGAAAGAGAAAGAGAGAGAGAGAGAGAGAGAGAGAGAGAGAGAGAGAGAGAGAACACACATACCGCATAGTACTGGTAATTTAGGCGATTTGTTCATGATGGCTCGTTCGATGCACTCGTTGTTTTCCAGCATGCTGCGAATTTCCACTTCTTCGTATTCGGGCGGCATCGTTCTGTTCTTTATTCTTTCCTTTTCTTTTCACCCTTTCGGACTGGCCTCCTGCTTGATGTACGCCTGGCCTTTAACTACCCGGTAACCGGCCCCGTATGTTCGCAATCAATATCAATCCCAGTGTACACCGGCGCAGCGCGGAGCTTCCCTCTCCGACCATGTGCGGGCCTGTTCCTCCCGCTGGAATCCCCCACTCTACTTTCAACACGTGCGCGACGATCTGTGGAAAGGCAAGGTACGGAGGTGTATAAGATATCGGTTCTCTCTCTCTCTCTCTCTCTCTCTACAATAACATTTAAAGAGGTTGAACCCTTCAAGGAAAATTGAATTTCGGATTTTCCTGTTTTTCAACGCATTCGGTGCTTATGAAAGAAAAAGGAAAGTTTAGCAGCAGTAGAAGCAAAAGCAGCAACAACGAGAGACAGAGAGAGAGAGAGAGAGAGAGAGAGAGAGAGAGAGAGAGAGAGAGAGAGAGAGAGAGAGAAAGAGAGAAAAGTTTGAGGATGATGATTCTTTAGGTATCATAGGTTGCAATTTTGTAGCAGATGTGAGCGTGTTGGTGGCAGCGTCGTTGAAGTTGCAACGAAAGAATGAGACGAGATTTTTATTAATGTCGTTTAAGTTAAAATTAATAGGAGCGAGAAAATACACATTCTATAACTCTTGTGAAATATGTTAAAACAATTTTTGGTAATTCAATTATCAATTATACTTTCGTATGAACAATGCAACAAGTTAGTGCCTTAAATATTCGTTGAATAATTCATACTGCTTTGATAAATTCATAACTATTGATTATTTATGTTGAGAATGTAACACATTTATTTGTGCTTGGTCACTATATTCGGTCACCTAACTGTACACACCATTTTCTCTCATTTAATTCAACAACATGAATTTTCGAATTCTAGTCCAAACAGTCGATATCTATTTATCAAATTTGGATCTACTAGGTTGCACTCTCTTCGATAAAGTTAATTTTTCAAAGAGTAAGACCTTATTCCTCTTCTCCATTTTGCACAATTTAAAGAGATTTGTCTACGAGTTGTCTTAAATATATGGATGTAAAACAAATTGACAATAAGTTTTCCAAAAATCACTTTCTTATATACAGAAGTTTTTCCTAAATATTGGTAATAAGAGATTTATTAGGAGGAAAGGTACTTTTAAATTAGGCGAGAAATTAAATTTTAATTTCATTTTTCCAAAATGTCAATTATTATCTCTATTTCATTTATATTTAAATCTCACTTTAACGTAAATCTCACTAATTTTATTAAAATTACAATTAACATAAAGAATATATATATATATATATATATATATCTCTCTCTCTCTCTCTCACTCTCTTTCTTTCTTTCTAGCTCTTTTTCTCTTTCTAGTGACATTTCTAATGACATTGTCTTATAAATACAACGTCATCTTGACTGTGACGTGCAGCTTGATGAATACCGTAATAGGAAGTTACGTCGA